ACTGACTGTCAAAGTGACTGTTTTGGTCTACTGCTGCAATGTGTTGCCATTGTCTATTGCAGTACGATCTGACGTAATCAATCAGAACAAACATGTAACTTTTGTATGACTTCTCAGTCATTAACCAAAAAACTACACGACAAAACTTCTTTTGCCACGCTTGGAGCTGGTCACATATTTTGGCTTCGGTTTGTGATTGGTTAACTGTTATGCTATTTCCCATCATAGTAAATTGACTCTGTAATTGCGTCTGATTTTGTTTTTAGGAAAATAACAAACACAGTAGTCAAACGAAAAATGATATTCACAGACGAGACGACTAAACTGAATACCTACCATGTTTTGTTTCTGATTTCTCAGGTATCCCATTAATTTCTTTCTCGGTCCCATGGGAATTCCCATCTCTTTCATGTCCTCCTCGCCACACAGCAGCTGCCACGAACAAAACGGAATAAACTTGGATCATACAACTCCCTGAACCGACATGTCGCAAAAAAGGCAATCGACAAATATCAATACCCATTAGGAAATACAAATGTGTGTTGACGGCAGGAAGCGAGGATGGAAGTCTATTGCAATATCGAAAATTTGAAGTCTGACTCAGGTTCCACTGAAATTTGCAAGAACCTACATTGTAACTCAAGAAAGGTTTAAGCCTTCTCCAGTTAGCGAAAAAGTTGTCGCTCGTCTTCCATCTCAGAAATCTGCTTAATTAACTCTTCTCTAGTCTGGCTATCTGATAAGTAAGAACAAGTAACGGTCATAAGATCAACTTACAAACGTCTCCATGTCCATTTCTTCAGATTCGAACAGCCCCACGTATTCAGGTAAACCAAGCTGTGTTAGAGCATCTCCGAGAGCTGGGTACGACTCTTCTTCATTGTCATCCGATTGTTCGTCTGAGTCTTGTGTTGTGTCGTTGTTGTCAGCGGCTGCAGCACCGTCTGTGTTCAACGTTTCACTGAAAACGGCAAAATGTAATAAACACTTCCACGTTATTCAACAGGACAACGATGTCGGAATCACTTCAGAAGGCGCTTTAACGGTGGCTTCGTTGTAAATGAAATTAAACCCCTTATTTGTGGGAAAACAATCCTAAACCTTAACAGTGTTACGTTGCAGCAGCACTCAGGTCATATCTCGCATCAACGTCCGTCGCGTGATGACACATGTTTTCGTCACGGTTGTATCAGGGTAGATTTAATATTGAATGCTGAATGTTGAAAGTAGAATGTTTATAGTGGTCGATGCGCTTAGCTACAACTAACTACATCTGTAGTTCTCAGGCATGCCACTTAATTGAAAGAAAGAAATATTTTCATAGGGTTAAAAAATCTCAACTGGCGTGAGGCAGACCAGTTGGCTATTTACAAGCATGACCGAGGAGTTGAACTAGGGTCTACCGAGAAACAACTCAAGACACCCGCAACCTCCGGATTCCCGGCACCCCAACCATTCAGCCACGCTGCCTCCGGTTTTTAAGCCAAATACGTAAATAAGAATCAGAATCAACCAAAATCAAGCTTACTTCACTTGCTCAATCGTAGGCTGCTTTGCTGTCGGGAGCTGGCCACGCTGAACTTTCTGAGTTACAAAAAGAAAACAAGGAAAAGACTAATATTTGACATGACAATCATAACGTACTGCACCAATTGCTCATCTTAACAATCTTTTTCCATGAGAGTGGCTTAGTACTTCAAACAAAATCAAATACGTTGTCCACCAAAATGAACGACCATTTCGTCAAAGGAAAAAACACCACAAAAAATCAAATGCTCAAGTACACTCAAATACCTGATGCTGAAGAATATCAAACAGGATACTAGAACCTGCAAGGAAAATAAAGAGAATTATATGATGCCCGCTTTATTCGTGTTACTTTTCTATCTCAAACAGAACAACAATATCAACTCAGTCGAAAAACATTCAAAGCGCCATGTTTGTTCGCACTTTCAAGTTAGTCTCTTAAACAAAAAAGGAAGACTCACACAGCATTGTTTCGAGGAAGTACGCGCGTGTGTACCTCGCGTGGATCTCTCCTGCTTGTGAGAAGTATTCTCGCGAGAAATAAAGAAGCTATAAAATCGCGCTTTTGCCTCTCAATTATCTTGTCAAAGTTGGGAATTTGCTGCGTTACCTAAACTGTGTCCGCACACTGAATATTTTCCACTAAACATAGGATTCCTTTTCTTGAAGATTTCCAGCAGTCGCTCTATGTCCTCACCTACTGTGTTGACAATGTTCTGTGGAAAGTAAAACAGATCCAAATCAAACCAGTAATTCTCTTATATTATTTAAGTGCTTATTCTCGCACATTCCTTGTAATTTAGGTTCAGAGAGTTTGGTAATACACCAACACAATATTCCCTTATTGATGATTTACTTTATTCTCATCTCCATTCTCCTTGATTATGTATTCATATTGTGAGAAAAAATTAGATTTCCATCAATCTTGGTACTAAAAGGGTGTAAATCACATGCTATCACATGGGTACGAATTTCCCCTTTCACTTGTATTAATGACGGTTTCCTTGCATTTCCAACTTCAAGCCAAACCTTTAGATTTTTACTGCCATTAGTCATGAATAAAGCCAGCAAGCATTGTACGCTATCAGAACTTTGAAGTGTTAAGTGTCTCACTGTTTACTGTTAACTGTCTCACAAAATTTCAGAATTGATGCAACTCACTTGACAATATGTAGGACTTGTGTAAAACAGAATATCAAGAAGAGTGCTGTTTGTAAACTCTCTTAGACGGCGTATGCTACTCAAAGAGATGGACTGAAGTCTCCTGTAGAGAAAAAGAAATTTATTGCAGATCTAAGTTCATAAACAACAATTTTCCTGGCTACATGTACATAGAACTTTCTTGAACACTCCAGTTCTTCCACTGTACTTCCAATAATAATAATAATAATAATAATAATAATAA